AGGGAACTCTTGTTATAGAACATGTATTTTTTGCAGATTTACATACATGCAGGTATATACATAACAGAGATTTTCATCATTGTTTTATATAAATAGTATAATAATATGATCATAATACAAACACTTAAGCAACTTGCTTTTCTCAGTACCTTTGCTGGAATCTCTGCGCATCAACTAGTATAGCTGTAATTTATTATTTTTAATGGCTGCATAATCCTTTATTTGTGAATCACAATAATTATATAACCTTTTCCCTGTTGTTAGATATTCTCTTTCTTTCCATTTTTTGCCACCATGAAAAATGTCGCAGTAAATATCTTTGAAAATGTACTTGTATACTGGAATTTTAATATTATGGGATAAATCCCCAGGGATAAAGTTATTGAGTTACAAGATATTTTTAGTCTTAATAGATTGCTTTACTAAAAGGCTCTAGCAATGGACATTTTCTTCAACAATTTGGGAGCATACACTTGTCCTGACATCCTGTCCATCAGTGATATCCTTCTTTTTAATATTTGCTAATGTGTCTGGAGTAAAATGGCATCTTATTTTCATTTATATTCCTTTATCTCCTAGTTAATTCAGGTGCCTTCCCTCAATTTGGTTTTTGGATTTGCTCATCTTGAATTTTCTACTTAAGTCTTTTGCTCGCTTTTCTGTTGGTCTATGTTTTTGGTAGTCATTTGTTAGCACTCTTTGCATATTAAAAATATGAACCTTTTGTTTATATCTGTGTTGTAAATATAACGTTCCAAGTCTACCATATGTCTTTTGACCTTGTTGCCAAAGAAAGGCTTTTGCCTAAATAGGCAAATATGTGTATCTTTTTTATGACTTCTGAGTTTTGATTAAAACATTCATACCCCTAGATTGTTCATGAATTATCCCAGATTTTCTTCCAACAGCTTTGTTATTTCTTTTATTTACATTTATCTTTAAAGCATCAGGGATTTATTTTTATATGTGGTGACAAGAGTGATCCAGTTCACAGAAGCAGATGAATATCTGCTATTCACTTAGCACTACATCTCTAAGCTGAAATGAAATCACAATTTTTGCATCTCCAAACACTACCACATTTAGACCACCAGTGAAATGACACAATGACATCAAAACCTAAGTCATGATCCCCACCATCCAGAGACTTCTAGTTCCACTATTTAAAATAAACACAATCACAGCAAAAAATAATAAGTGGCAAGATGGTGGGGTTACATTCTATATTAGTTTTCCAGAACTGCCATAGCAAAGTACCATAGACTGAGTGAGTTAAACAGCAGAAACTTACTTTCTCACAATTCGGGAGGCCAGAAGGTCAAGATCAAGATGTTAGCAAGGTTGTTTTCCTCTGAGGCCTTTTTCCTTGGCTTTATATGCTCATATTCTCATGGTCTTCTATTTGTGTCTGTCTTAATCTCCGGTTCTTATAAGGACAGCAGTCACATTAGATTAGGGCCCATTTTAATGACATCATTTTAACTTAATTACCTCGCTAAAGACCCTATCTCCAAATACAGTCACATTCTGAGGTACTGAAGGTTAAGATTTAACATGTGAATTTTGAGGTGACACAGCTCAGCCTGTAAGAGGTTTCAAATGGTTTGTGCAGCTAGCAAGCACCATTTATGCTCAATGAGAGAGAGAGAACTGGGGAGTCAGTGAAAGCTTCATGAAAAAGATAGGATTGAAGGTGGACATTGAACAAGCTTAAGATTTCAATGAGGCTATGAAAAGCTTTTCTATGAGAAGGTGAGAAAAACCAAAGTTACAGCTATAAATGTGGTATATCAGTGAGATAACGGGACTAACAAGAGGAGATAGTTCCTTTGGGGAAAAATGGGAGATAAAATTGAAATTGCTAAGATTATAAATAGCCTAGTCAGAAGTTTAAACTTGATGAAGAAGAAAAAAAGACATCATCATAAATTTTTGAAACTTGAAATTTCACAATTAAAGTGGTATTTAAGAAAGGAAAACCTGGTTTTCATTTGTGAGATAAAGCATAGAAACCAGATTAAGACTCCACCACAGTTATTAAATGAGTCATTTCAACCAGAGTGATTGCAATGGCAAATGAGACTAAGTGGTGGGTGAATATTAGCTATTTCAAAGAATGTGTCAAAAAAAATGGACAGAAGTTAATGATTGTCTGTAGGAAATGAAGAAGAGGCACACGGCAAAGGTGATACCAGTGTTTTCAACTTGGGAGGCAGAAATAATGCTGCCTTTGAGGTTGTAGTGTACAGAATCTTAGATGACGAAGAAAGATGACTGTGGCTTCATTTGAGTCTGAGAGAGAAGTATTCAGTAAGAAGTAAGAAATTAGGGCAGGAGCTCCTGTGGGATGGGAGGGTCGAACCTGAGGTGTGCACTAGAAAGTCATGTGTATGGAGCACACCAGAAATTTCCAGGAGCTGAGGAGTGGATGATTCAATCTAGGAAGCAAGGGAAGATCACTTAGTCATCTAGCAAACTTTTATTAAGCACTTACTATGTGTCAAGCATTTCTATAAGTACTGGTAATACAAAGAAAAATAAGATAAGGCATTTAACTTCAGAAACTTTATCCTGAGTCATGAAGTCAAGGGGTGTTTAACAATGCCTAATGATGAAGGGTAAGAGACAATAGGGACCGATAAAGGACCTTAGGATTTGTTAATGAACTGCGCCCTTGACCTTCTATTAGGCTGGCGCAAAGGGAATTGCGGTTTTTGCCATTTGATGAAAAATGAATACAAGGTCAAGAATGCCTTTATTCCCAGAATGCTTTTTTGTTTTTCACTCTCTTGGCAATTATTTAGCTTCTTGGCCATCTTCATTTTCATTATTTGTATTATAATAGTAATGTTCTGATATTTTAATTCAGATTTTAAATAATGTTAAAGCCAAGTTAAAATTTAGTCACACACCACATTCATGTTTCTAAAAATATTAATAACATCTAATAACTTATACCATATTTTTATGTTTCTTGCCATTCAGATTCAAATGAGTAATATAAATGGATAGGAGAAATGCATTTTGAAATGAGAAAATTTTGCAAGAGCCAATAGAAGCTATTTAATAATCAGCACTGGGAGAGATGATAATGAGAAGGAAAAAAAAAAACACTATTTATGGTGGTGGCAAGAATTCAGGCCTTACCCTCTTTCCTCGTGCCTGTGACAGTCTAAGATGGATCAGAAATGGCTCAGATATTTGGACTCCCTCCACCACCTCCATCTATTCCTTGAAGAAGGGAGAGAGAGAATGGGAGATGAACCTCCAGGGATGGGTCAGACAAGTGCTTTCACTTTGTCTATTACTAATCTGTACTAACATGGTCTCATTGACAAAGATCTCTTTTTTATGTTTTATTCCAAAAAGGACAGTAATGTGTGATTGTTGAGGTTTCTCTGATAAGCATTGATCCATGCACTATACCTCTATGAAGTACTCCCAATAAGCTGATCTCCTTTGTCACCCAGTGATTTCCCATACCTTTGGAATGAATAAGCTGGATAATGTCAGAATATGAATGCTGCTATGATCAATACCTTCACCTAGTGGGCTGGTCAGGGAACTAGAAAGTTAGATGTCTGTGAGTCTTTCATCCTTGGCTGAAGCTGATTTGCACTGCCAATCACAGTTGTTTACATATAATGAATATAAATGTTCATTGGTTTGATTTAGTATAGTTTGGGACAACTCCGTTTCTCTGTGTATTTCTACATCTGGGGATTAGGAATCATCACTTCCCCTTTATTATATGCAAGAATGAGCTATTACTGCTTTTAAAGTCCTACTTATAAATATATGTTCAGATGTATTGAATGAAGCTTTCCAACTAGCACCATACTCAGCCCACCACTTTTATCCTGATCTATCTATCGAGCAGACATGTTTGCACAAATGCAGTCAGTGGATGGGGTGGTCAAGTGTCATGAAAAAAATAGAAATATTTAGTTAGGTCTATTAACTCTGTAAATACAAAGCCACTTGTAATGAACATGAACACCCAAGTGCACAGATCACTAGAAGCTCTGACAGCATTGCTCCAGGTTTCGGATCTTGGCTATTATTAACAGAAGGAGTAGGAAAAGATGACAAAATTTATTCTTTATTGCTCACTGTTTTAAGTCAGATCTGAAAATGCTTCTGGTTTGAAGTTCTAAATTTTGGAGAAAGAATAGATTAGGCCTTTCAGAAAGAGTCAACTCTGCAAATGAGCAGTCTCTTCATCTGAGGCCAAACATATGAGGTGGTACTTAAAAAGGAAGATCATACAGTGCTTGGACAGAGGGGTCACATGTGAGGCTGGTACAAGGGGGAGGGAAGGGACAGCAGAGGTTCTGTGAGTCTAACGCTCCTTTTTAATTTTTTTCTGGCAGCTTTGACCCCTGACCTTATCCATCCTCTGAACTGCTGTACTCGATTTCTACATAACCAAACTATGCATCTTTTTCTTTTCTTTCTGTTTTCTTTTTCTTTTTTTTTTTTGAGATGGAGTTTCATTCTTGTCTCCCAGGCTGGAGTGCAAAGACACAGTCTCAGCTCACTGCACCTCTGCCTTCCCAGTTCAAGCGATTCTCCTTCTTCAGCCTCCCAAGTAGTTAGAATTACAGGTGCCTGCCACCACACCTGGCTAATTTTTTTGTATTTTTAGTAGAGATGGAGTTTCACCATGTTGGCCAAGCTGGTCTTGAACTCCTGACCTCAAGTGATCTGCCTGCCTCTGCCTCCCAAAGTGCTGGGATTATAGGCGTGAGCCACTGCACCCAGCTGCATTTCTTTTCTTCCTTTTGTTTTCTTCCCCTTAGCTCTCAAAGCCCTAGACCACCAGGAAAGCATGTGGTGAGGACTAGGACAAGGGTTGGTTGTGCAACAAAAGTATTTCCTTTTTCTCCAGCTTTAGCCTCAGTTGTATGTATATAATTTCTTATTTATCCCAAAAGGAAAACATCACTTGATAATAGTCTTTGCAATTGAATACTTGTTTATGGTCTCCTTTTTTATAGGTATCTCTAAAGGAGAAGAGCCAAAAATATTGAGACCCCCAAGACGACCCCGGAAACCCAAAACATTAAATAACCCTGAAGACTCCACATACTATTATCTACTACATGTAAGTGGCTCACTCTTACTATTGGATGGGAGCCATCACATCCACTGATGGCCAGTGTGAAAACTGTGGCTAGATTAGGCGCCTGGCACAAAGGAAGGCTTGGCAAGACAGAGATGTCCTTGGTCTCCTCTTCAATGCCCTCCTCTGGCCTGGGCACTTGGATCTCCTCCAGCCCTTCTTCCTCACATTCAAGCCTCTCCCATAGTAGTACCTACAATGTCCTCCTTGTAGCTTTCTCTGCTGGTCCATTAATCTAAGCTAATATGGAAATATCAACTCAGCAAGGGAAACCCATCATAGCAGGAACTCTCCAGAGAGACACTTTGGTGTAAATGAGTGGGTTATGATAAAACTAGAAGAAAAGGAAAAAGGGGGAGAAATAGATATTTATTGAGCATCTTTTAAATTCCAGGCCTAGAATGAGGCTCATTCATATCCACTGTGATAGCTAATCCTGGAAAAAGCCCTGAATGTACTATCCATATCTCTCAGATCAGGATTCTGAGACATAGATAAGCATGTCTCAGCTGCCAGGCCATTTGTTTTATTGAGGTCTTCTGACCCCACAGCTCCTGCTCACTCACAACATGAGGACTCATTTTCCTCACCCTTGCTATCCTGGCCTTCCAACCATGTTTCTGTTCTCCATGAATGCTACTGTCAACCACATGGTTTCCTAAACCAAGAACCTGGGAGTCATTCTGGATATTGTCCTCCCTCTCATACTGTAATCCATCAGTGTCTCTAAACTGTGGCTTCTACCTCCAAGAGCTCACTCCAACTCATTTCCCTCCTCTAACCTCACAGCAATTACCGTATTTCAGACGATCATCATTTCCCATTCTGGAATATTTCAGGTCCCACCTAACTGTCTAATTGCACCCTGTCCAGCCTGCACATGAAAATGTCTCTAAACCATACCTTTGAGCATACTCCTCCCTTAATTGTTCCTTTAATGGCTCAACAGCTCCTTCAGGATGAAGTCCTAATTCCTTCCAAGGCCTTCTTCACTGGACCTGCGACCGCCCTTCCGCCTCTTTTCTCACCCTCTTCTTGTCCTTGAGCCACAGTGAACTGCTTGAAACTCTGCAGGTGAGCTGCATTCCCTCATGCTCCGAAGGCATTTGCTGCCACTGGCTGGTCCTCCATTTGCAATATTTATTCACTCTTCCAGTCCTCACTGCCACAGTGAGAGACCAGCACTACCCTATGCTCTGGAGAACCCAGAAGATGTGTCGAAACCCAGAGAATCAGTTGGAAATAAGTTTTCCACGTCGCAGGCAAAAAATGAAGCTCATACGTGACCTTCAAGTTAGCCAGTCTTCTCTAGTTCTTTCCCTTCTCTCTAGTGATTTCTTTTCAGTTTCCACAGAGGATTGTCTCCCTCTGGGTGTTGCCCGGGATTCGATCTTCTATTCTCTTCCCCTCTCATTTCCTTTAGACAATCCCATTAGCTACCATGACCTCAGTGACTGCTGATTTCTGAATCTTTATCACTGGCTTAAATCTCTCTGTAGCTCCCGACTCAAATATCGAACTACCTAATGTTTGTTTTACATATTCTACATGAATACACACAGGCATTCATGTATACATATATAGAAATTATATACACACACATACACATCCATACATGGCTGTACACACAGCTTTGTTGAGATATAAGTTGCATGCCATAAAATTCACCCATCTAAATAAACATTAAATGGTTTTTAATACAATCATTTAATCACAGTCAATTTTACAACATTTTTATCACCTTAAGAAACCCATTAGAAGTCACTTCCCACCTCCCACCCCCTGCCCCAAGCCCTAGGCAATCACCAATCTAGTTTGCTCTTTCTATCAATTTGCCTATTCTGGACATTTTCTGTAAATAGAATCACACAATATGTGGTCTTTTTTGAATAGTCAACTAATTGTACAAGCCAATAATCTGACTATTACCTTGACTTCTCCCTCATTCTCATCTTCCATATTCAAAAATCTAAATCCAAATATCTCTTGAGTTTCTGTTTCTCTCCATGCTATGTGCTAATACCGTCTTCCAGGCCAGCATGTCTCGTCAGTATTTCTGAGTCACTTCTCTTACTGGTCACTTGGGCTCTTGTTTTTCCCCTTCTAATTAATATATTTTCCACACTGTGGCCAGAGTTTTATTTCTAAAATTAATATCCAATTATACTATCCTCCCATGGATGGAACTTTTCCATTACTTCCCACTGTCCTAAGATATGGAGGGCTGTCAAAATCTGGGCCCTGCTCACCTTTCCAGCTTCTGTGCTTAATATTCACCCCTCCAAACTCTCCACTCCACCCTTCCTTTCCAGTTACCTGCTTTCTCCTCTTCAAATTGTCCATGAACATTTGTCCTTGGACATGCCCTTTTGTCATCCTGGAACACACATCCGCTTTCTCTTCTCATCTTTTCATGATCCAAACACCTTCAGTCTAGATGTCTTTTTCTTCAAGGAAACTTCTTGTCATTCTGAAATCCCAAGACAGCTCTTCCTATATCCTCCCTAAGCAGCCCATACTTCCCTTTTATGACACTTTATCATGCTAGAGAAGGATTGGTATGGCTTCCACAAAGTCAAGGAGTTTGCCTATTGCATTCAACCTGACACATAGCAGGCATGCAATAAATATGTATTGTACAAATGAGAGCAATGAAATAAAAGAATGAAAAACAAATCAGAGTAAATTGAGAAAAGTCTAAAATTCCAGATACCTGCCTTTGACAGTCACTTTATAATGGAAGCTGATTAAGAAATGACATTGATTTTTTCCTCTGCTGCTCAAATAATCTAAAAAGCAGCAAATAAACTGACATTTGTTTATGCAGTTAAACACAACAGCAGAAACAAGCTTAGAAATTACCAAACATTCCCTACTAACCCCGAATTTAAGTAGTAAATGATACTCAATGGTCTTTATTAAGTGCAACTGAAATGACAAGTGATTGTGATGGCTTCAACAACAGATAGTATTCCCAGTATGAGAAATTGTAAAAGACTTGAACTGAATTGAAATGTTTATTACTAACAGCCAATGAGAACTATGGAGCAAATTCCGAGCCTCATAAATAAGTTCCATCCCCAAGAAGCTTACTTCGTCATCAGACTATTATTTTTTTAGTGACTGTATTTCCATATATCCTAAGTTATTAGGAATAAGACCCTTTTTTGTAACTCTGAGTCTTGAAAAATAAAACACAGAACAGGAGTATATTATTACAAGTGAAAACATACCATGTGTTCATAGTTATCTGGCCCTTCCCAGGATTTGAGGCATTACACATGGTGAAAAGTGTGGCTGTAATGGGGCCCCACTCCCTTCAACCACCAAACACTTTCTGTAATTTTAAATGGTTTTTATGAAAGTCTTTCTAAAGTATATTATACTACATACTTAAAACCCTTTCTTGATGACCCAGGGTCACTTTAGCAAATGAAAATGTTTCTTACTTTTTTAATGTTTTATTTTCCATGTTTATGGATATATACTAGTTGTATATGTTTATGGATTGCATTTGGTATTTTGATACAAGTATACAATGTGTAATGATCAAATCAGGGTAACTGGAGTATCTGTCATTTATTATTTCTTTGTGTTAGGAACATCCCAATTCCACTGTTTTAGTTATTTTGAAATAGACAATACATTATTGTGAACTTATATTGTAGCACTATTCAAAATGTTTGTGCTTGATTCATGTTACTGAAACACCAGAGGTTTGGTTGAGGTCCTGCTGCACACTGCACAGAAAGCCAATCACTGAGCCCACGAGTATTGCCAAGAAAGAAGGCTTTAATCAGGTGCTGCAGCTGAGGAGATGGGAGCTCAGTCTAAAATCCATCTCCCTGACTAACACCAGGGTTTACATAGCAGGGAGGAAATGCAACAATGTTTAAGAAAACAAGATCTGGGGGGGGGCAAGGAAGTAATCATGGTGAAAGAGTACAGTGATCTGGTGAGTTTCAGTTCTTTAATACTTTTTTGAGAGGCCTAAAAGTTATTTCCTGAGGAAAGAACTCAGATAAAACAAATATAAATTTCAAGCTTTAGGAGCAGAAGGTCAGTTTCTATGTTTATCAAAAAGAACAATCTACAGGGCAATTGAGTTGGTTTCATTTGGATCTATACTTACCAGAGAGGATCCCTGACCACCATGTCTAAGGCAACACCCTATCTCTCTGTATGCCTCTGGCCTGCTTCATTTTTCTTTAGTGCATTTTATATTTTTTCTGTGTTTGTTGTTTGAGACAGAGTTTCACTTTGATGCCCAGGCTGGAGTGCAGTGGCACGATCTTGGCTCACCGCAACCTCTGCCTCCTGGTTTCAAGCAATTCTCCTGCCTCAGCCTCCCAGGTAGCTGTGATTACAGGCACCTGCCACAATGCCTAGCTAATTTTTTTGTATTTTTAGTACAGACAGGATTTTACCATGTTGGCGAGGCTAGTTCCGAACTCCTGACCTCAGGTGATCTGCCCGCCTTGGCCTCCCAAAGTGCTGGGATTACAGGCATAAGCCATCATACCTGGCCCTCTTCAGTGCATTTATAAATATTTATTTGTCTACTTGTCTCCTGCCCGACTTGCCCATCTAAACTAGAAGCATTTTGGAGGCAGGGCCTTTGCTTACTGTTAACGGCCATAGTCCTTGGAACACTGTGCTGCTAACATCGCAGCTAGAAGACTGTTAAATAATAGATTCCTGTAGTATAGTACCCGCAGGGACTGTTGAGTTGTGGAAAATTATTTCCTTCACATTTGTCCAACACAAACATCTCTGCTTTCAGTTGTTTTGCTATTTTTATAGCATTTTTTTTTTCCTCCTCAGATGTCACTTCTTACAATGGTCATTCTGGCTGCCTTAACGTCAATATTGGCTCTTTCCTGTGACTTGATGCTCTTTAACTCTTACGTCCAGGAAATGTTGCCGCTGCTGTGTCCAAAATAAGAGTGAGCCAAGCCACAGAAGCGTGCCTGTGGAGGAGAGCATTAGTGGAGTGCGAGTGCCCTGTTGTGCTGCCCAGTCTAACACTCAAAGCTGTGCGACATTAGCAAAAATGACTCAGGGCCAAGCTTCCTCAAAACAAAAACGAGTAATCGAACACAATCCTATCAGAGATCCCTTCCAATTTTATAATTCTCTCCAGTACTTTTCCTGAACTATAGCAGTAGCTAGTTTGGCTGCTCCAAAGTCTTTTTTCTTCTTGATTTCTACATTTTAGCTCCTTCTTCATCCATAAATAAATTGGTAGTATATTACCAAAAGGAAAGTAAGATTGTGCTCACCATGATGTAATGGATAGGAATTTTAATGTTTTCTCATAAAACAAGTTTCTTTATGTTGGGTGGGGATGAAGGGGGAGTGTGATGTGCCTGATTAAGGAACAGGTTCTTCAAAGTCTTCAGAATTAAGACATTATTCTTTAAAGGCTTCCTCAAGAAACACCCTCACCAGAAAATCTACTTGAGTCATGTTTGTCTCCTCTTTCTTTTCTCTACTCTGGTTCTACAAGAAATTGCCATGGAACATCTGCTTCTTTATTTTCATTTCAAATTTCAAGTTTTTAAATTGTAATTTCAAAACTATAATTGAAAACATTGCACACCTTAGCAAAAAACATCCCCAGTATAAACTGTATGTGATAAGTTTCTTATAAAATCCTCACCTTTGAGGAGTGATATGCTTCCCTTTTCATGACAAAGAGCAGGGATTAATGCATCGTGCTCCCCTTTCAGCCCCAGCTGTTCAGAAACTAAGAGACAAACGTAAGCCTGTCTCAACACACCTACTTCCTTTGCCTCCTCTGTTTCTCATTTACAATGTCTACTTTATTACTTTGACTGTATAACTACTTCTATCATGAGCCATCTTAAATAATTTTTGGAAAAAATATATTATTGAATTACATTTCATTAGAATATTCTAACACAAGGCCAGGCATAGTGGCTCAGGCCTGTAATCCCAACACTTGGAGAGGCCGAGGTGGGTGGATCACTTGAGCTCAGGAGTTCGAGAGCAGCCTGAGGAACACAGTGAAACCTTGTCTCCACAAAAATACAAAAATTAGCGAGGTCTGATGGGTCACGACTGTAGTCCCAGCTACAAAGGTGGCTGAGGTGGGAGGATCACTTGAGCCAGGAGGCGGAAGTTGCAGGAGATTGCACTGCTGCACTCCGGCCTGGGTCACAGAGTGAGACCCTGTCCCAAAAAAAGAAAAAAGAATATTGTAACACAGAAAAGAGGAAAGAAGTGTGGGACAATATGTCCTCTTCCAGGAATTCCTATAACTGAGAACCAACTTATATATACCACGTCCCAGAAGGAAGTGCTGATCTGGTGTATATAAATAGGATCCTTACCAGCCTGAGAATTCAAGGGCAGAACATTATTTGATTCTTGATTGTATAAAGGGCATCTCTGTCACTCAACATAGTGCCATCACTTAAGCATAACTTTGAACTATAGACAGTTGTTACCTAGAACAAAAGGGACTTTTTTTCAGGTAAAGGATGAGGGAGGCAGGACCTCTGTAGGAAATTACTACTGGAATCATGTTAAAATAGCAACAATCACCACAACAAATACTACCCCAGTCCCAGAGATCATTAACCGAACTGCTAGTAGCCACTGTTCCTATGCTGGCAATGTAATTATTAGTAAGGACATCTTAGCCTAGGGCATTGCATCAAGAATGTGAAGTAATGGGAAGTGGGAGGAAGGAATGTAACTGATATCTTTCCCTTACATTGTTCTTTCCTGAATGGTCTCCTCGAAAACTTGATGCAAGGAAGCACTCACTTCTACCTCATTCACCTGTTAAAATGCCAACCAATAAGAATAAAAGAAGCCATGCACTGTTTCGCTCATCCACCATTTTAGAGTATGACAAATGATAAATTCTGAAAAAAGCATGACTTCCTATGTCTCTAAAATACTGTGGAAAAGCCTCAGTATTTATAAACCATTGTTAATTGCCATTTTTATTATATTACACTTTTATGGTACCAGCCAACTTGATAACTGCTATAAATTTTCCGCAATTATATATTCTTTTTTTTTTTTTTTTTTTTTTGAGACAGAGTTTCACTCTTGTTACCCAGGCTGGAGTGCAATGGCGCAATCTCGGCTCACCGCAACCTCCGCCTCCTGGGTTCAGGCAATTCTCCTGCCTCAACCTCCTCAGTAGCTGGGATTACAGGCATGCGCCACCATGCCCAGCTAATGTTTTTGTATTTTTAGTAGAGACGGGGTTTCACCATGTTGACCAGGATGGTCTCGATCTCTTGACCTTATGATCCACCCGCCTCAGCATCCCAAAGTGCTGGGATTACAGGCTTGAGCCACCGCGCCCGGCCTCCGCAATTATATTTTCAGCTTGTTCAAGGTGAGCATGGTGTCTTTTTTCTCAGCCTAAAAGACATATATGCTGTGGCAACATGTAAATATATGAGCTCAAATATATTGAAGTAGCACACACACAGAAACAGACTACTAATGCTACAGTGCACAGATCATCTTGGTTTGTATATAAGGTGAAACTTATATGCAAAGGACCATTTTGTTACTGTTCAAATTGAAGTATCGATTAAAATATATCTAATTATTTCCATACTTGAATATCTTAATTTGTTCTGACCTTGATACATAAAGTCCTCAACTAGAAAACATAGTTCAAATGAAAACATATATCATCTTGCTGCCACGTTTATGTCATAAATGGGCTCCTATAGGTTTATGAAGTCACAATTCCATTATTTTTGTGGACTGTTGCATCTGCCCTCCATATTCACCCACCTGTTTTACCTGCAAACTAAGAAGCAAGACATCAAAGCAGCCTAACTAACCTGCTTACATCACAACTGCATTTGTAGTAGAGAAATGGGCTTCCCAGAACTTTTATAATTTGCTCCCATTTGTAGTAAATAGATCTTATGTGACCTTGTCTATATTGGTTACCATGTGGTAAATATATTTTTCATATGGAATGCAAAGATTCATTTCAGTTTAGGCATGGTAAAAATAATCCAAAATTTACAATTAATAAAATTTCAGTAAATTATATTTCTTTCAATTTTTAAAATATTGTATCCATTTGCTTATTTCTAACAGTATTTTAAGAATAAATGTATTTACATATTAAGATTAGAGTGCTATATCAATTATGTTATATTAAGATCATAATATTATATAGATCTTTTGAATTCTTCTTTCCCTTCAGAAGTCAATCCAAGAAGAAAAACGAAGGCCAAGGAAAGACAGGTAATTATTACTTCTCGATTTCAATAAGTTATTCAAACAAAAATAAAAATCTATGTGTTCAAATTATTATTTTAAGTCATCTATTTTATATGGAGAGACCTGGAAAGTAATGTTCACTCAGTACATTTATATTACAAATATGTGATTTATATATAATTTATAAGATCCTGCCTATTGTGGCCAGGCGCAATAGCTAACACTTGTAATCTCAGCACTCTGGGAGGCTGAGGCAGGCAGATCATGAGGTCAAGAGATTAAGACCACTCTGGTCAACATGGTGAAACTCCATCTCTACTAAAAATACAAAAAATTAGAAAAAATTAGCCAGGCCTGGTTGTGGATGCCTGTAATCCCAGCTACTCAGGAGGCTGAAGGAGGAAGATCGCTTGAACATAAGAGATGAAGGTTGCAGTGAGCCAAGATTGCACCATTGCACTCTAGCCTGGCGATAGAACAAGACTCTGACCCAAAGAAAAAAAAAAAAAGAAAGATCCTGCCTATCGGAAATCTGTTGAGCCAGCATAGCACTAAGAACTTAAATATGTTTTCAATGAGTTGTACCCTCCCAGTAGATAATTTGCTTTTTTTGTTCCATGGAATGGTTTTCCTTGGACAATTCGAACATACCTATATTCATCAATTTTCTTTCCCCAAACGCCTTTTTGCTTTTTCTCCTTCTACACATGCTAAATCTTGCTTCTTATAATTTAATGGAATTTTTTTTAAAGAAGATTAGGTTTATGTTACCTAAAATTATGGCACACTTAAGTTCACATTTTTCTCCTTTTCTTGTATTTCTCACTGATATTTTACTCTCTTAATATACCACTATTTTAATCAATGTTCATGTCAACCAATTTCCAGACAGTGAATGCCAAGAAGAAACAAGAGTGTTTCTTTTTAAGCATGAGTGAACACAGCTTTTCATTTCTGAATCAGTGACAGCCTGAAAGTCCTTTCTAAATTAGTATCTGTAACTTGAAAATCGTGTTTTCCTGGAAGCACTGTAACACCTGGAGGTTTTCCAGACCTACCTGGTTTATCTCTTAGTAAGTCCTATCAGATTGTAGACACTGAGCACCATAGGAACCAGACTGTGCCCTGAGTAGAACCAAAAATTAAAATGGTTGAGGACACACCCTTATGTGTATGTCATGTGTGGGTGTTAAAATCTAGCACAGAAATTAATTCGCTAAAGAACAAAGGGTAGAGGGAGGACAGAATATTACTGGTGAAAGAGCTTAGTTAAGATTATATGTGTATCAGTGTACTGAGGGCTGATAAAATTTGAAAAGGCTATGTATTAGTACACAAAGGTGAGCTTTTCTGGTAATGGCTAAAGATCAGTAGTGACTGCTGCTCTGGACTGGCCAGACTGAAACAATGCGATCACTGGCTATTCTAGTAACCACTAGTTTGGTGCCAAGTTCAGTACAATAGAACCAGGAAAATGTGTTCCCACAGCTACTGCTCTATTCAAGGTAAGATACGAAGGTTTTTCTTTTTTATTTATGGGATATACTATTTTTCCCACATTTCAAGACTTTCTATTTCTAATGACACGTACATGTTACTCCTAAATTATAGTAAATACTTTTAAAGAAAAAAACAAGTATCCTGTAAGTTTAAGTGAGTAGAAAATTAGATTGATGCAATGGTGTGTTTATGTGTTCATTTACAGTCAGGGAAAATTATTAGATTTGGAAGATTTCTATTATAAGGAATTTTTGCCCAGTCGTTCTGGACCAAAGGAACATAGACCTAGTTTAAGAGAACGAAGACCACGGCGAGAACTCAAGAATCAATGTATTAAGGCTAATGAAAGGTAAAAAGCTAAACTTTAAAGTACAGCATTTGCAGTTTTATACTCACAATTCCATTTCTTAAGCAATTTCACTTTATATATAGATGAATGACAAAGCACTCTTACTGAATATTGTATCTTTTGTTGTTTAAAAGTAGCCTGATGTACAGTGCTATGTTAGGGTAATCAGACACCTCAGTTTTCCTAGCAAAAACTGAGTTTATACCTGTTTTCTTGGTGTAATTATTAACAAAAACTCATTTTATTTAATACGAGTACTTCAGTTTGGATGATAAATTAGTATATGATCATCTAATTGTAAGCAATGTATCACATTCAAAATCTATATTCAAGCTCGACCAATGTAATTTTAATTACTTATTGGTTTCTTAATTATGCTTGTTAATTTCTCAGAATCAATGATGTCAGACCCAAAAACATTTGAGAGAAAGATTCATAGAAAAATGCATATTTTGGACTTGAATTCTCACTTGCCACCAACTTTGTAACATTAACTTATTTTGTAGCTTATCTAATACTTTGGGAATTTTTTTCTTTTCTCCCAAAATGTTTGTGGAGTTTTGAGATCAGGGCACATAATAAAACAGAAGCATAGCATGTGGAAAATGGGATCAATGGCTGAAAGCCAAAGGCTCTTCATCCCGAATTCTAAACAAATATCCTGTCAGCCTAGGGTCCTCAGAACCCTCACCCATTTTACAGCATGACATGATGGTGAAGAGAAGTTTTAGAGTCACATGGTCTTAGGTTTGGATCCTGATTCTGCCCCTTAGTTGTCGAGTGACCTTGCTCATGTTAGCTGACCTCTTTAAGCTACATTTCCATATCTGCAAAAGAATTTACTAATAACTGCTTCACCATGTTGTTGTAGAGATTAAATGTAGCAATAGGGTACTTAGGAGAGGCATAGGAAAGGTGTTCTGTCGTTGGTGTCTATTACCATCTTATTTGCTTTTTCAGAATCCCTCTGAACTATGATTTTTTTTCCCTTTGTTTACAAATGAAGATGTGCTCTTCCATCTTGGGATCCAGAACTGTAACATGCTGGAGCTTAGAGATGTTCTAGTCTAACTTCAGAACTCTGTACAGGAGAACACTAAATGCCAGAAAGATTAAGTGATTTGCCCAAGATCGCACATTGAGTTAGTGAACTAAAATCCCAGATGTCCACTCCCTGCCCATTTGCTTTTCACTGACTTACCTGCTTCCCATTTTAATAGCTCACTCTGCCCCTCTCAAATGTTTTCTCCCCTTCCCCCCACTGGCAGAGACACGTCTGCTATGAAAGCATTCTATCCCTGAAATACTCCTGGTGTAGACTAAGTGATATCTATGGGTGTGTATTTCGTAGCCACTGGAATAAATGTTATCAGCTAGCATTGTTGACTGCACTATGCCATTATCTCATTTAACCATCACAGCAACCACATGAGGCAGTTACTATTATTGCCCCATTTTATAGATGAGGAGGCTAAGTCTACAAAGTTTAGTGACTGCAAAAAGTCACCTAGATGATAAGTTCATGGATCCAGAATTTGAACACAGGGTTTTCTAAGTTTAGAGTTGATGGCCTTAACCATTACTCAGCATTTCCGTACTGTGCAAAAGACCACGCTGGGCATTTGAAGAAGGGGTGTATAGAATGGTGCATAAGATGTGATCCTTATGTCCAAGACCTTCATGCTAGAGGAAAAGTATACTGATATGTGAAAGCTGAACAAGGTAACTCAGAGAAGGCTTTTTCCTGAGGGAGATTACAGGGACAAAATAGCCTTCACAGGATCCTGAATTTAAAATAGAAAATAAAAACAAAACAGCAAAACAGTGCTATTGAAACAATTGGAGAAACTTGAGACTAAACTATATGTCAGAAGATGTTCATGCACAAAGAATATCTTTTTGTGTGTGTATGCACATTGCCCGAGAGGGTGTAAGCCTGGGAGAAGGAGACAACGGCAATAGTGAATAGAGTGCCTTTTGATTTTTTTAATTGACAAATAAAACATATATAAACTTATGGTATAGAACACAATGTTTTAAGATATGTGTACATTGTGGAGTGGCTTGATCATGCATATTAACATATGAATTACCTCACATATTGATCTTTTTATGATGAAAATACTTAAAATCTACCCTCAGCAGTTTTCAAGTACACACTACATTGTTATTAACTGTAGTCACCATGTTGTACAATAGATCTCTTGAGTTTATTCCTCCTAACTGACATTTCGTATCCTTTGACTGACATCTACCCAGTCCCCCCACTAGTCCCCTGGTAACCACTATTCTACTCACTGCTCCTTGTGCTTGTCCTTTTTTTGGCTTCCACGTATAAGTGAGATCACACTATATTTGTCTTTCTGCACCTGACTTCTTTCACTTAGCATTCTTTCCTCCAGGTTCATTCGTGATGTTGTCAATGGAAGGATTTCTTTCCTTTTTTAAGATGGAAAAGTATTCCATTGTGTACATATATCACATGCTCTTTATCCATTCATCCATTGATGGACTCTTAAGTTGACTCCATATCTTGGCTCTTGTGAATAATGTTGCAATGAACATCTGAGTGCAGATATCTTTTTTTTTTGTAAGGAGTCTCGCTCTGTCATACAGGCTGGAGTGCAGTGGTAGAGCCAAGTGATCTTGGCTCACTGCAACCTCTGCCTCCCAGTTTCAAGCGATTCTCCTGCCTCAGCCTCCCGAGTAGCTGGGACTACAGGGACACACCACCATGCCCCACTGATTTTGTATTTTTAGTAGAGGCAGGGTCTTGGCCAGGCTGGTCTCAAACTACTGACATCAAGTGATTGGCCACCTCAACCTACCAAAGTGTTGGGATTACAGGCATGAGCCACTGCACCCAGCCCAGATATCTTTTTTACATACTGATTTCATTTCCTTTGGATATATGTCCAAAGTAGGATCATATAGTAGTTCTGTTTTTCATTTTTATTTTTATTTTTATTTTTTGAGACACAGTCTCGCTCTGTCACCCAGGCTGGGGTTCAGTGGCAATATCTTGGCTCATTGCAACATCTGCCTCTCAGGTCCAAGTGATTCTCCTGCCTTAGCCTCCTGAGTAGTTGGGATTATAGGCACCTGCCACCACACCCATCTAATTTTTGTATTTTTAGTAGAGACGGGGTTTCACCATGCTGACCAGGCTGGTCTCCAATTCCTGACTTCAGATGATCCACCCACCTCAGTCTCCCAAAGTGTTGGGATTACAGGAGTAAGCCACTATCCCAGGCCTGTTTTTAAGTTTTTGAAGAATTGCCATACTGTTTTTCATAATGGCCATACTCATTGACATTCCCACAAATGATGTGCAAGAGTTTTCCTTTTCTCCCACTTTTGCCACACTTGTAACCTTTCATCTTTTTTATAGTAGCCATCCTAACAGAAGTGAGATGACATCTCATTGTGTTTTTAATTTCCATTTCCCCAGTGATATGAAGACATTGAGCATTTCTTCATATACATGTTGACCATTTCTCAGTCTTCTTTTAAGAAATGTTTATTTGGGTCTTTTGCCCATTATTTAATCGGGTTATGTGTGGGTTGTTTTCTGTTTGTTTGTTTGTTTTTCTAAGTTGTATAAGTTCCTTATATATTTTGGATATTAACCACTTGTTAGATGTATGGTTTGCAAATATTTTCTCCATTTAAATGATTGTTTATTCATTCTATTGATTGTTTCCTTTGCTGTGCAGAAGCTCAGCAAATGTAATCCAATTTGTCTATTTTTTATTTTTGTTTTTGTTGCCAGTCCTTTTGAGATCACGGTCATTACCCAGGTCAATGTTATGGAGCTCTTCCCCTATAATTTCTTTCTTTTCTTTTCCCTTTTTAGGCAGCATCACATGAGCTAGCTCCTATATTTTCTTTTAGTAGTTTTGTAGTTTCATGTCTTATGTTTAAGTCTTTAATCCATTTGGAATTGATTTTTGTGTGTGAGATTGCTTTTTGTAAATGAGATAATGATCTAATTTCATTCTTCTACATGTGGACATGCAGTTTTTCTAACACCATTTATTGAAGAGACTGCCTTTTTCCTATTGTGTGTTCTTGGTATCTTTGTTGAAAATCACATTACTGTAAATGTTGGATTTGTTTCTGGGCTCTCTATTCTGTTCCATTGGTCTATGTATCTGTTCTATGCCAGTACCATGCTGTTTTACTTACTATAGCTTTGTAACATAGTTTGAAATCAGGTAGTGTGATGTCTCCCAGTTTTCTTCTTTTTCTCAAGATAGCTTTGACTATTGGGAGTCTTCTGTGGTTCTATATAAATTTTAAGATTGTTTTTCCTATATTTGTTAAGACTGTCATTGGAATCTTGATAGTGATTGCATTGAATCTGTAGATTGTTTTGGGTAGTATGAGCATTTTACAAATATTCATTATTCCAATCCATGAATACAGAATATCTTTCTACTTATTTGTGTCACTTGTAATTTTGTTCATCAATGTTTTATACTTTGCAGTGTTTAGATCTTTTACCTTCTTGGTTAAATTTATTCCTAAGTATTTTTTGTAGCTACTATAAATGAGATTTTTTTTCTTGATTTTTTTTTTTTGGATAGTTCGTTGTTCTCATGGACTTTAAATGAATAAAAGCTGGTGGCAGGCAATTGGTGATTAGAGAATTGCACTAGAAGACAACAGGAGGCTGACATTTGCTTGTCTCCTCTGAAGATGGAACATAGTGGGGTCTCTCTTGGGCAGTAGTAAGAGATGTGCGGTGTTCAGGGCATAAGTGGGGTTTAATTATGGCAAGAAGATAAATGGAGGATGAGAGGGGGAAAATAAGATAGAATACAAGTGCCTCAGTTAAGAGACAGGAGAATTGTGAAAGAAGCACCAGCAGAAAAGAGGCAAAAAGATACAAGGAGGAAAGCATAAGATTTGAGTCCTGTAGACCTGGGTTTGAATCTGCACTCCGCTTCTTACTAGCCATGGCAACTAGAATCAGTCTGTTTTCTCATCTGCAAATTGAGAATAACAAGAATCTAAGGCCTTGCAGTGTTGTCCTTAGAATTAGAAATGCTGTGTGTGATATATGTGGAAGATAGTTGATATTTAATATTCTTAAAAAAGAAATCAGCTGAATAGGTATGAAAATTGAAGCGGTAACTCAAAGGAGGATGATCTGCTCCTTCAGTACCCATCACGACAAGCTCAGGATGCCTGAAAGACCTTTCCAAAGCTTTTTCTTTTTTTTTCCGTTTTCCTTTTCCTTTTAATTCCCTATTCAGAACAGACCAGAATAAAGGCATATTTCATCTACAGGCCAAGTTCTAGACCTCTCCTTTCATCATTATTTTCATTCATTTGCATATACTACCAATGGCCTTGCCCTGTCTCCTTCAATCATATTCAACTGGCAAACTCCAATGCTGGGTAAAATCAGAACAATCTAATCACACTTAAAATTATGGCCACACCTTTGATGGGCCCTTAGTTATTTTGGAATATTACATTTCCCTAAAAATCCCTTTCCCAGTCCACTCTTTCAGACTTCATCCTCTTCAAACCCTCCAAACTCCCTCGCTCTCAGCTGACAACCTCCTTTTGGCATAGTAGCAGATAACAGATGCATGGTGAATCTATCAGCCTTCCTACCACTTACCCATCCACTTCCTTCAGGACACTATGGATGACTTTTCTGTCCTCCTAGCTAACGTAAAAACCTTCCCTTTGTGCACCAAATCCAAGTCCTATCATTTATTCAAGGGCATTGTCCTGCAATTGTTTTCTCTCTCTTCTGCACCTTCAATGTTTGTTCTTTTTACCAAATCATTCCTGGCAATTAGTGAACGTGATCCATTGAGATCCATCATAAAAAAAAATACCCTTGACCCAGTCCCCCTCTACAATCCCCTGTTTTTTCTGCTCTTCAGTGTAGTAAATGAATAATAAATGAAAGAGTAATGATACCACCTACTGCACATTCTTTCTTCCTATTCTCTTGACCCACTTGAGTCAGGTTTCCTCTCCCAGCATTACTCTGAAACTGCCTCTGCCAAGGTCAACAGTGACCTCTGGTTTGCCATACTCTGATTTAACACCTATGTTACTTGTTTTTTCCTTAAGTACTTCATCCATTGGTCTTCAGGACAGCACTTCTCTTGGTTTGCTCTTGCCTTACTGGCTGCTCTTTCTTCCTCTCCCTGCTGACTTTTCTCATTTCACCGATCTCTCAGTAATGGAGTATCCTAGTGCTTCATTTTTATCAACAGGCACTGTCATGAACTTAAATATTGTCTGTACTTAAAATTCCTGGCCTGGCACTATGGGTCATGCCTGTAACCCCAGCACTTTAGAAGGCTGAGGCAGAGGGATCACTTGAGCCCAGGAGTTCAAGATCAGCCTGGGCAACATTGGTGGGACCCTGTCTCTACAAAAACATAAAAATAAAAAAAGTAGCCAGGCGTAGTGGCGCACGCCTGTAGTCCCAGCTACTCAGGAAGCTAAGACAGGAGGATCACTTGAACTTTGGCGATTGAGGCTGCAGTGAGGCTGTTATACCACTGCACTTCAGCCTGGGTGACAGAGTGAGACCCTGTCAAAAAAAAAAAAATGAAAGAAAAAGAGAAGAAAGGAAGAGAGAGAGAGAGAGAGAAAGAAAGAGAAAAGATGCTGTCTTTGTACTTAAAATTCCTGAACTAAACTCTCTAGCCTAGATCATGACTCATGAATTTGATATCCTCTTGAATATCTAATAAATATCTCAAACTTAGCATAACCAAAACTAAAATTTTAGCCCACTGCAAAAAGTATTCTTCTCTGCAGCCTTCCCTGTCTCATTAAATGACAATTCTATCCATCCAGTTGTTTAAGTCAGAAACCTCAGGGACATTCTTGGTTCTTCTCTTTCACGCCCCACATTCAATAATAAAAAATAAAATAAGTAGTCATCAGTGAGCCAACTCTTTCAGTTCTCCTTCCAAGTATGACCAGGATCTGGCCAGTTCTCCCCTCCTCCTCCACAAACCAAGCATAAGGCACTATCAATATTGGTTGGACTATTACAGAATCTCTTAACAGACCTTCCTACTTTCATTCTGGCAGACAGATCCTGTTACGAGTTATTCCTCTGCACAGAACCTTTCAATGTTTCTCTCTAAGTAGAAGTCAAGTCCTTGACGTGGTCTCAACACACTAAATTATCTGCACACTCTATCCTCATTCCTCCTGCTCTCATCTCTTGCTATTTCACCCTCTTGCTTACTCTTTTCAAGCCACAATGGCCACCTTGCTTTTTCTTGAACACAATGTGTACATTCTTGTGTTGCGGTCTTTACATCAGTTGATCTGTCATCCTGGAATTACTGCCCTTCCCCACGAGATCTGCATGGCTTACTCACTCTCTTCCTTCAGGTCCCTCCTCAAATATCACCTTATCAGAGAGACCTTTCCTGACCACCCTCTATGAAATAGCTTGTACACACACACACACACACACACACACACACACACACACTACTTTTTCCCCATTACCCAGCTTTACTTTTCTGAATAGCACCTTTCACCACCTGGTGTTTTTAAGTTGTCTGTGGGTCTCTCCTACACTAGACTATGAACTCCATGAGGACTCCTGCTCACCCATCACCTATACTGGTGCCTGGTACTTAGCAGGTGCTCAGTGAATGAATGAATGAGGAGTGAATGAATCTATGTAGTTGCATTTTTAGAGAATACTCCACTTCCCAAACAAGCTGCAGAATCTAAAGGTAAACATTGGCAGGGATTCCCAGCAATAGACTCAGAAACTTAGCCCAGCAGGCTCATTGAAAACATGGAAAAACTGAAAGAGCCAACAAGGACCATAGCTCTGGTGTCACCAACAGCAGTTGGTCAGATTTTAAGGGAGCATTTTTTTTTAAGAAACACCTGAGCAGTTTTAAAATGGAAAATATTGGGTGTCTATTTCGGCACTTTGAGTTTTTTTTTTTTGTTTGACCAAAGTAGGTTAAAATTAAAGTATTAAAATAAATGTTTATTGGTAGTGAATTACTGCAATTCAAATGAAACTCACCTTTCCAAACTGCACCTTCTGATGCTTTGCTTAGCGCATATCTAAACCGCTCCACCAGCCAGCCCCTCTGCTCCTCAGCTCAAAGGAGTTTTGAAAACCTGCTGAGAATTATCGCAGACAGGTTTGGCCGTTACCCAGTCATTTCCATTGTGCCTTTCTTAAGTGCCCACAGTTGGCAGAATGTGAGGAGATGAGGACCCGCCTAATTCGGGGTAGGGGGGGATGCCTTGCCCACTGTGGCGCCGTTGACACTGGGACCACGGGTTTCGCTTGCAGGTGCTGGGCGGTGGAGAGCCCCGAGGAGGAGGAGGAGGAGGAGGAGAAGGAGGAGAAGGAGGAGGAGGTAGAGGAGAGAGGGCCAGCAGCCAACCCATACGACTTCAGGAGGCTCCTGCGCAAAACGTCCCAGCGCAGGCGCCTCGTCCAGCAGTCCTAGCCGCGCGAGGTAGACCCCGCGGTCGGAAGCCGCTCGAGCCTGCAGGGCAGCAGGGGCCAAGCGGGCAAGATGGTGCTGGCACCAGTAGGCACTGAAGCTGCGGCCCTGATCTCCACAGGGTCTGCCTGCTGCGCTTGGCCCTCGAGTGCCCGGACCAGCCTTCCTGTGCTCCGGAAGAAGAGACCTGGGAGCCCTCGGAAAACCTCCTCTGACGCCCTCTCTCCGAACTCCCGCACCCTCCTTTCTCACCAGCCCGCCAGTTGGGACATCCGTGTCCTTGTTCCCCTAATCTATCTCTTTGCTCCTTTTTTTGTGTGTGACGACTCCTGCGGACTCCAGGGCGCTTGGAATTTCGCCAACCCCTCTCTCATTTGGGGTGAATTCACAGATTTCTTTTTTCTTGGAAACGGCTTTCACCAGCCCACAGAACACTCGCTAGCGCTTGAATCGTAGAGATAAAAGCCCGGGAGGGGTAGGGAGAATTACGAAGATGAACTTCATCTCAAACTTGGCTCTTTCTCTTGCTTTGGTTATTAAGGTTACTAAATAAAGGAAGTGCCTTGGAAAGTCCGTGGTTTGCATAACCGATCTCTCTTTTTCCCCTCTTGGGCTTCTGCCATAAGGCTGCGCTGGTGACCGTGCCCAAGGAGGGGCTTTGAGATGCCTTCATCAGTGCATTCTCAGCACCACCCAGCCACTTCAGAAAAACACAATCTAAGCGAGAACTCCTTGCTGCACAAATGGGGCGGCCTCCAATCTCTAAATCCCAACACACCACACGTGCCCATGTGCACGCTGCCTTCCCAATCTGTGTAACTGTCTTTGGCCTCCTCTGTAAAGATGCTGGTGCCCCCACTGGGTGGAACTGTCAGATTTCAGGTTCTCCTAGTCTGCAGATTTGGGGTCATCTTCGCTACTCCGACTTTGTGTGTATTTAAAATGATGGAGACTGGTGGGTGGACGGAAGTTTGCATTCCTGGATTGACTGCCCCTTATTCTAAAACCGGTTTAAGCTGCTTTATGAAACCGACACTCCCATCTAAGCGACCTGGAGAGGGTGAGGACAGGTGATGAGGTTGCATGGAATCAGAAGGGTTCTGCCCAGCACTGGGCTTACCCCTTGTGTGGATGCCCTTGGCTTCTGCATCCACAGGCCAGAGTCAAAACACTCTGAGGAAATATTAGAGGAATGAGTGAGGGCACGTGCAGGGGGCTCAGAATGTTGCACCGCTGGTCCACAGCGCATAGTAATCTCTCCAACTTAAAAAGTTGGCACCAAAAGGTCCCCAGAGACAACTCGTGCAATCTCTTCATTTTACAGTTGCAATCCGGCCAAGGAAAAACCTGCAGCTATGGCAGGGAAGAGTCCAAGTGCTCTCCAGGCCTTCTTTTTCCCTAGCTTAGCACCACAGCCTCTCTGGGGTTGGGACTGAAAGTAAGGAGTGACCCTCAGCTGTGTGAATGCACTGAGTAGCTGCCTATGGCACAGCACCCAAGAAATCAGCACAGCAGGTCACAAGAGAGAGGCTGGGAGGGACAGGAGTGTCTATATAACCCAAAGAGGTCCGGCCCCCTTCCGCCTCTAGCCACCTATCCACCTGCCTCCAGAAGGCCTGGGTTTGTGGGGAGGGCAGAGCAGGGGCAGGAGGTAGGGAGTAGTAAGCTGAGCTCAGCTTTTCTGCCTGTCCCCCTTCAATCCAGGCTTCCCTCTGGAGTGGCCCCTGAAGACCAGAGCCCTGGCATTCAGGCCCTTCTATGACTTCTGCTGGTGTAGGAAGAATTTAGGGAAGGAAGCAATAGACTTCCTCCCTAAATTTTCCCAGCACAAATGTTTTCAGTAAGAACGGAAAAGAGAATGGCAAAGGCTTGGTGAATGCTTGGTTGCAATGTTTTTGTTTTATTTTTCTTCTGTGGTTTTTTGTTTCCTCTCCTTTTTCGTTCCATTTTCCCTTCTTTCTCTGTCCTTTGACATTTAAGCACTGGAAGGACACAGGAAACTATGTACAAGACAGTCTTCTTTGGGTCAGCCTGAGACCCCTATCTTAGGAAACCACAGACATCTAAGGAAACAGTCTCTAGGAGCTGGAGGATTGGGTTTCTCTCCCCTCATTCAAGGAAGGGTCTTCGAAAGCTTGCCCCCCTCCACCACCCCGCCCCTGGCCCGCCTTCCCTTCCCGTTCACTGGATGCCTCCTTTGTGAACTAATGACTGTAATTATTACCTCCCAGAGCTCTTTTGTTATCTCCAACCCCAAGCCCTGAAGACGGGGAATGGGCTCTTTTGTGAAATGAAGGTCATTACAAAGCAAATTGCCGTCAAGGGAGGGACAGCCTTCAGGAAAGACAAATCAGATCCCCGTCTGCATCCGAAGCTGGGTGCGTTTAAATAAAAAGTATAAATACCACCATTAGATCCAAAGTACTCCAGATCTGTGGGATTTAATAGAATTAAAACAGTAACACTTAAAGCCATTGCTTTACCAAAAAGAAAAAAATAATCAGCTAAATTCAGATGTTTTAATCCATTTCTTCTTGGGGGTTTTGTGTTTTAAATGCTTGTCTTTAAGAACCTGTATGTTTTCAACCACTCATTTACAGTAGAAAAGTTCTGCAACCCTAGCCTGCTGGCTTGGAGCAAAACCTTTGCAGGATTTGATGTGCATTTAAACAAAGAACCATCCTCTGCGAGGCTGGAGAGAGCTGCGGAGCTGCCATGTCTGTGGTTCAGATGGCTGAACCACAAGTCTTTGTTTCCGGAATTGTTACCTTGGTCACCTGGAGTGTCAGCGCCAGGAGGGCCAGAAAGAAGAGCCAAACTGAGTTTTTGACCACCCGGGTTCCCACAGCCTGGTCCAGACTTCTCCACTTAGCCAGCTCAGCACCAGCCTTCCGCAGGACGCTGTCAACGCCTGACTGGTTCCCTGCTCTGACCCCGGTGCCTGGGCCCAGCTGCCATAGTGTGGATCCCATGACTCCTCAGGGAAGCCCTGGACTCAGGCAGCGAGAAGAAGACAGCGCTTCGTGGAGAAAATTGACCAGGGACATTTGTGCTCCAGGACACAGGACTTGGGCACGTATGCATCCAGCATGGGCGCCAGGATGTCCCTTCTAAGTGAGGGTCGAGGGATGGTCTCCCAGACGGGATCCCCGGGTCTCTGCTTTGGTAGCAGCTTTGGTGGCTGGTTCAGGAGGTCAGAGAAAGAAAACGGCTTGTGAACACAATGGAAATGACAGGCGCTCTGGCAGGCAAGGGGAAGGCAGCCGCCTCGGGAAGCCGACCGCAGCCCTTTCCCCTCTCTCCCTCCCTCTCTCCCAGAGCCCCAGAGTTGCGAGGTGCACTTGAAGTTGATCTCGACTACCAGGAGAATGCGGCGCAAACTGTCAAAGGGCTCCCAATCCTCAGGGCGTCCTCCTTGTCTGTAACAGCTTTTTGTAGAAAGGAAATCATCAGAAAGATTCTTTCTTCTCCTTTCTTTATTAGAAAAAGAGAAAACCCTTCCTACTAGGAAGAGAGAGCCAATCTCGCGCTCCCGGGTCGCCCGCTACCGGGAAGATTCTCTGGGGGCGGGTGCGGGAGGGTGCCATTGGTTTGAGTCCCCTTAAAACGAGGGCCCTGTGGGCGATGCCTTCTTTCCTACTCGGATTTGGAAAGCTGAGATTGCTTAGTTGGAAACCCTGTTCTCCCCTCCCAGGCGCACACAGATTCCCCTTACTGGCAAGGAGCGGGCCCTTCCACGCCTCTACGGGCCAAGGTCACCAAATGACCTGATCCCATCCCCCACCCACCGTCAATGCTGCCGACTCTGGCCACTCTGCCTCCTTCCCTTCCAAGAAGTTTCCATTCGTTTTATTTGTTTTCCCCAGCCCAAGGTCCTCGGAAGACTCCAGCGTGGATTTTAATTGCCTCAATCAGCAGTCATCCTCCCCACCCGTCACTCAGAGCCTGGACGGTGGGCCCTGAGATCTAGCCCTTGGCTGCGCAGAACGGTGCGTCCAGGGGGACGGCGCGGTTCAGCAGGCAGGCGTCAAGCTCTACTAAGGCGCTGAAATGAGCCCATCAGCGGGTAGGAGACCTTCACCCGCCGTCTCCTCCTCAGGCTCGTGAAAGGCGCTTGATGCCGGCCAGGCGGAGCGATCTCTCGAGGTCGCAGCGACCTCAGCACTAGCTAGGAGGAAGGCGGCGACGGAACCCCGCTTCCTTCCACTCAGCGGGAGTCAGACCTCAAACAACACCCCAGTCCGTGCACACAGAAAACTACTCTGGGCCACGTCCCGCCTCGCCGAGGTGTCCCCAGTCTGCCTCTTGCTGAGGCCGACGCGCAGCGGCGGTGGCAGCACCCGGGACAGCGACCGCCGGCACTTCCCGCCTCTGGCTCGCCCCAGGACGCGTTGGCACGCCTCCCACCCTCGCACTCTGACTCCAGCTGTCGTGCACGGTCTGCCTCGCAACCTCACGACTCAGCTCCCTCCCTCTCTCCTGGTTTTTCCTACGCCGCCCCCACATTCATCCCCACTGGGCTGCCTCTCCCTCAAATGCTCTCGGGCTCTCGGCGCTTTCCTGAGTCCGGGCTCCGAAGACCCTTAGGTTGTCCCCGTCCCTTTTAAGGCTCCGCGGCTTCCAAAGCGTTGCCACGTCCCTAAACCCTGTCTCCAGACACGCGCGTTTTCTATCCCGGCGTGACACCCGCCCTCGCCGCGCGGCCCCGCCGGTCCCCGCGCGGTGCCCTCCTCCCGCCACACGGGCACGCACGCGCGCGGAGTGCCAAGCCCAAGGCAGCTCGCCGGCAGCTTGCACTCGCAGGTGACCTGCTCCAGTCTCCAACGCCGATGGCATCTCCGGGCTCCGGCTTTTGGTCCTTCGGGTCTGAAGATGGCTCCGGGGATCCCGAGAATCCCGGCACAGGTAGGAAAGAGAACGGGGAACTGCGGCGGGAGAATTTTGCGGTGGTCTGGGGTTTGCGGGGCTACGGGGAAGCCGAAGGAGGTTTTTCCACCTGCAACAGGAAACTTATTCGGGCGCTTCTCCCTGCTTTCGGGCTAAGTCCTTGACTGCCCAAGAGCTCAAGACCTCTACAGACTCTTGTCCCCTGGGAAGACCCCCAAATAGTCTCAGGCCCCTTCAACGGAAGGCTGGAAGAGCCCCCAAAGACCGCGGTGTCTCCAGGATGTGGAATTCCGTGGGCTTGGGGCGCCGCTAAGATCTGGGTGTCTGGACCCTGGGGAGGGACGGAGTGACCGCGAAGATAGAACAAAAATGGGAAAGGTGAGAGAATTCTTGGTCTAGAAAGACAGCCTGCGAAAAAATGGATTGCTTCAGTGTTTAGGAAAACTCGCCCAAGCGAGGCAGGGAGAGTTTGCCTGAGCCGACTGGCACCTGGAGGGGCAGCAGTGTGGGCTTCTCCTTGGGAAACAGATTCAAGGAAATGAGGGGCGGCCCGGGTGGCCAGGCTCCCGCTTGCCTCCGGCACGTGCCGGCAGCACTAGGTCCTGAGCGGCCCGCAGGAGGAAGGCGGCCTCTTCCCGGACCCCCGGCTGTTTGATGTTCACACAGAACGAAATTTCACACGTCCGTCCG